TGGAACTCATTTATAAGCTCATAAATTTATATTCCAAGATGATTCTAAGAAGAATAAATCCAAAACATGTTTTGGCAATAACACAAGCATTCTTCTAGATTTTGGAGCTCATTTGTCAGATCGTAAATCAATATTTTCTAAATGTGTATACATTTGTGATTCTGTTGCTTTATGTTATCCATTTGTTTTTCATTTTATATTATGTATTTAATTTTTTATTATGAAAACTATGGATAATATTTCAAATGTAAGCTTTGCTGGCTTACAACTTTTTTTTCCATTTTCCTCGCATTTTTTTTCTTATTTTCATGGTGGCATCTTTTGGGGTTTTTCCCCCTTTTTACCTCTTAAGCACATTATCCTTAAAGTGTCTAATTACTTGTAGTGATATGCTCACTGCCTTGAGAATTCTAGTTCAGTTTAGTAATGATTGTTATATGAAATATTCAATTTATCATACTTAAGTTACCTTTGTGTTTGATTTTTTTTAAACGAAATTATTTAGTTTTAAATATTAGTTGGGCATTTATTGTAATAAAAAATAAAATTAGTAAAGCAATGTTGACATAGAAGATGTTATAGTTACAATCAGGATAATACCCCAAAATACACTGCTCAAAAAAATAACACATCCTAGATCTGAATGAATTAAATATTCTTCTGAAATACTTTGTTCTTTACATAGTTGAATGTGCTGACAACAAAATCACACAAAAATAAAAAATTGGAAATCAAATTTTTCAACCCATGGAGGTCTGGATTTGGTGTCCCCAAAACAAGTCAAAATGAGGCTCAGTAGTGTGTGTGACCTCCACGTGCCTGTATGACCTCCCTACAACACCTGTGCATGCTCCTGATGAGGTGGTGCATGGTCTCCTAAGGAATCTCCTCCCAGACCTGGACTAAAGCATCTGCCAACTCCTGGACAGTCTGTGGTGCAACGTGACGTTGGTGGATGGAGCGAGACATGATATCCCAGATGTGCTCAATTGGATTCAGGTCTGTGGAACGGGCAGGCCAGTCCATAGCATCAATGCCTTCGTCTTGCAGGAACTGCTGACACACTCCAGCCATATGAGGTCTAGCATTGTCTTGCATTAGGAGGAACCCAGGGCCAACCGCACTAGTATATGGTCTCACAAGGGGTCTGAGGATCTCATTTCAGTAACTAATGGCAGTCAGGCTACCTCTGGCGAGCAAATGGAGGGCTGTGCAGCCCCCCAAAGAAATGCCACCCCACACCATTACTGACCCACTGGATGATGTTGAAGGCAGCAGAACATTTTCCATGGCGTCTCCAGACTCTGTCATGTCTGTTACATGTGTTCAGTGTGAACCTGCTTTCATCTGTGAAGAGCACAGGGCGCCAGTGACGAATTGCGAATCTTGGTGTTCTCTGGCAAATGCCAAACGTCCTGCACGGTGTTGGGCTGTAAGCACAACCCCCACCTGTGGATGTTGGGCTCTCATACCACCCTCATGGAGTCTGTTTCTGACCATTTGATTTTTTTTTCAGAAAGTATCCCATTCCTACTTTAGCCAAAAATGTCAAATATTTTTTATTCTTTCTTTCTTCTGATGGAAGTAAATTTTCTATTCTTCCAGTGTCAATGGGTGACATATAATCCTATGCTTAGTATTGTTTATAGATAGGTTCACAGAGTTCTGATTAGAATAGTCAAAGTCAAACTGAAACAATTCTCTAAGTCAGCTACGCTTTCAGTTTGGCAACTCTGGTCCTAAATTTGAAATTCTCTCTGAATTCACCTTGAATTCTCAATTCTCACTTTAGTGAATAGCCCTCTTAGAGAAATAGAGTCAAGTTTTACCCTATAATCTTTTGCACCAGCTGTTGAGTATGACAGGTATACCTTATATATGACAAAAATTTTGTGAACATTGTACGTATAACACAATATGTTCCTCTCCTTTTGATTTTTATCCTTATTTAGAATCTTTGGTTTTCAAATAATCTTTACTGTAATTTCTTTGAGAAAGTAACTTAAAATGGTCAGAAAGATAAGGATAAATTCTACTATTACATATGCTTAGTAACAGAACAAGTAGAGTGATAAGGACTTCATGTGGCCATGTGTTTGTATATGTAGTATGAATACTGCCCAATTCATTTTGAGGGAAAGCAAAAACAAGGTGTTGTTCTGGGGGAACCTGCTAAACAAAGAATGGACCAATAACCATTGAAACCAATAGAACGTCTTTCGTTATTGAAAATATTCAACACAAAATTGCACCTCTTTTACCTTGATACATATCCTCCATTGTGTATAATGCCAGGAGACTATACATAAAAGGAGTAAGTTGAAAACATTGTTTAAGATCTATCGATCTATCTATCTATCTATCTGTATGTACATAAATATCTATATATCTCAAACAATGTATATATCAAACAAGGCATCCATGTATAAAGTGGAATAATGCAAACATGGGGTTCTTTGTTGTGCTCATTTGCATATGCCTACCCAGAATCTCGTGCAGTGGTGAGAGTACTGTTAAAGTGAGATTTCTGTGGGAAAAGCTAGACTTATGGCTTGACTGGTGTGTGTATTTGTGTTTAACAATGTATTAACTATCCACTTACTTGAGGTGGAAGGGGTTTTCATCCAAACTTTTTTCCCCACCACAACGCTTTTGGTATGTACTTTTCAAGTAACACAAAGCCTCCATAGCAAGCCAGTAACCGACGCTCCTGAGGAAGTCGCAAGACGAAACGCATTGAGCATATTCTGTGACTCTGCTTGGTATCAGCAGTTTTATTTTGCATATATACTGGTTTTTAATTGTTGGTGCAATGTTTTTGCCCTTAGTTCACTATTGTTTGAACTTACAAGTGGTTAACTCTAGTTGACTTTTGTGCACCTTTATATCTATGCTTATTTGCACTCAGGAACTTGCACTTTGTCTATCTAGTCTAGTATCATATTGTGTTAAACTGCTGTGCCTAAGGGTCTTTTGGCCTATTGTGGCAATTTTATTTCTTACTGCACATATTTTGTGCTGTTAATATGGATATTTTATAATCAATAAATTCTTGCTATTTTTTTATCTTTGTCATTATATTCCTTCTCTTTTTCACCCCCATTTCCATTGCCTATATAGTGACTATGGCGCCCTGTGTTTTTCATTTTTTTTGTGTGTATATCTGGGGCTGGAGTAACCTCTTCACAGAAGCTTGCCTGCACTTGGCTTTTTCACTACCCTTCACCCACCTTTCATTTTATCTATTTAGTAACCAACCTCATGCTGTAGAGTTGCATTAACAATGAAACAACGGTCCATGAGTGGCTCATTGGCTTTGCTCCTCTTCCTGAGTTATGTTTCAAAGCTGTTGTATACATCAGACACATGCATCAAGGAATCCATGTATAAAGTGGAATAATGAGGCAAAAATTTCAAAAATCTCACCCTTGCAGAAATGAGAGCAAATTAAGGTGTTATCATTGTGCAATTTAACTGGCCAGTTTTCTTAAATTACACAGACTTTATTAACCATTTTCCTTTTATATACTAAAGCGGCCACTACTTAAAGGAATATAGAATGTGACGGCAGATAAGAACCATTCCGCCCATCTAGTCTGCCCAATTTACTAAAATACTTTTTTTTTTTTATTTACTATTTTTATTTTCAAAAAGTAAAAGGTAAAAAAAGGTACAGAACAAAGAGGGGGAGGGGTAAGGAAAGGGTGGGGGAACATGGGAGGCGACAAGCCAATATCATGTTCCTTTCGCAGAAGGAGAGAAGTAAGTGACACATCTGTTTACTTATATCACAATATATCAAAATATAACAAAATGTCAAAATGTATCGAAGTGTCAAAAAGTCCAATGAATCATGTAAGCGTTGAGTGGTATCTGTGAAAAAAGTAGGTTCTGTGAACAAGTAGGCTATCTCCGTCCTCCACCTGTATCTTATTTTAGTTGGCAGTCTATTATCCTAATTCTCTATGCTATCCAAGTTATAGTTTTCGAGTGGGGATATGGTGTAGTCGTAGCCGTGGAGTGGCTTGGTGTAGGGTTTTTAACTCGTGGGTCTAGGTTTACTATCTACCATATTAAGCCATGGTGTCCATATTTGTTCTACTTCTCTCCTTTTTGAGTATGAATCTGCAGAGAGTATCTCATATTTATAGTATTGCTGTATTTTGTTTAGTAATTCTTTACGCGAGGGGCATTTAGTGCTTTTCCAGCATTGGGCTAGTAAGTTCCGTGCTGCTAAGATAACCAGGGAGGCTATTTTTTTATGTTTTTTATCCCATTGGTTCGGGAAGATCAATAATAGTGCTAGTTTTGGTGCAATAGGAGATGTGCAATCCAGAGCCTGGTGTAGTATTTGCTGTGCATGCTTCCATAGGGGTTTTATCACTGTGCATTCGCACCATATGTGGGTCATACTGCCCTCCTGCGATTCGCATTTCCAGCATTTCAAGTTTGTGGCGGGGTAAATTTGGTGTAGTCGTTGTGGAGTGAGATACCATCTATATATTACTTTTTTGTGTGCTTCTATGTGTGAGAAACAGGATGTGAGACCCTTCAGGGCATTTAACGCCATAATCAGTCGATCGTCTGTAAGTTTAGAGATACCTTCTTTTTCCCATTGTTCTACATATTTAAAAGAGTGGGGTGGTGATTGATTCAATATTGTTTTATAACATAGCGATAAGGATTTGGGTTTAATCGGAGCTGCGTGACATCTAGAGATAACATTTAATGTCTGTACAATGTTTTGTGGTGGAATGTGGATTTGGTGGGATACATGGGTGTTTACAACGCATTTTAGCTGCAAATATTGGAAGACAAAGGAGTTAGGCAGGTTGAATTAGGTTTGTAGATCTGGGAATGATTTAATCCCTGTCTGTTCACAAATATATTTAATTCCATATTTGGTCTATGATTGTAATGACAACCATGGTGTTATTCTTGTTAATGCCTCTATTGGAGCGTATGTGCAGTACTTCCCTTTCCCTGATGCCGTAGTCAACAGTTTATCCCAGTATTTGAGTGTTACTGTAGAGGTAGGATATAGTATTATTTTTTTGGGTCGATGTATTGTTGGTGACCACATTATGTGTAGTATGGGATGAGGGTGTGTTTTGTCGTTTTCCATGTCCACCCATTGAAAGGTGTGTTTAGGGGCATGGAGCTTTATGGCGGATTCGAGAATAGCCGCCTCATAATAGTTGGTAATTTTTGGTACCCCTAAGCCTCCTGTGGATTGTGTCTGTTGGAGTAGAGAGACAGATAATCTCGGTTTTGCTTTGTTCTATATAAATCTGGATAGAGTGGTTTGTAGTGTTTTCAGGATGTGTGGTTGCATATGAAGGGGCAACATCCGAAATATATAGAGAATTTTACTAGTGTGGATTCGACCGAGCCACGATAGGTGGATTTGTTCCCAGCCCTGAAAGAGGGAGGTGCACATATGTGATAACGGGCCATAGTTCAGAGTTATAGTCTTTGCGGCATGTAAAGCAAGTTTCACTCTTAGGTACGTTATATGGTTTTGTCTCCAGTCAAATAGGAAGGCCTGGCGTAGCTTCTTAACTTGTGGTGCGGGTATGTGTAGTGGTAAGGCTTGTGTCTTAGCTTCATTAAGTTTATAGTGCGATATCTTTCCATACTCTTGTAATAGGTTCATGAGACGGGGTAATGAGATATCGGGTTTGCAGATGGTTAGTAGGATGTCATCCGCGAACATTGTCAGTTTGTAATTTGTGTGTCTTATGGATATTCCTGTAATTAGTGGGTCTTGTCTAATTTTGATTGCTAGGGGTTCTAATGCAAGGATGAAAAGAAGTGGGGATAAGGGGCATCCTTGTCTAGTGCCGTTGGTGAGGTTGAAGGCTGATGAAATGAATCCTGACTGGTATACTTGGGCAGTAGGATTGTTGTATAAGGTCATTATGCCTTGGATTATTTCTTTTGGGAACCCATATTTAGTGAGGACTGTTGTCATGTATGTCCAGTTAAGTCTGTCAAATGCTTTTTCAGCATCTAGTGCCAAATGGAGGCTTTCAGTTCTCTCTGTGTCAATATGGGACAGTATGTTAAGGATTTTCCTGGTATTATTGGAGCCCTGTCTACCTTTAATGAATACTGATTGGTCGTTGTGTATATGCGAGTCAATATAGGGTTTATTCTATTCGCTAGGAGTTTAGCATAAATTTTAGTGTCACAGTTTAATAGAGAAATTGGTCGGAAATTGGGGCAATGGGTCGGGGGTTTCCCCGGTTTCGGTAGCTTAGTAATATGGGCTTGTAGCATCTCTGCTGGCATAATCCCATTTTGGAAACATTGGTTGAACAGTGCCATCATATGGGGTGCTAGTATATCTTTGTATGTATAGTAGTATAGGTTTGTAAACCCATCGGGTCCTGGAGATTTGTGTTTTGGGAGTTGTTTTAGGATGTCTATAATTTCTTGTGTTGTGAATGGTTGTATCAGACTATGGCTTTCTTCTGTGGTGAGGGTAGGTAGATGAATATCTGTCAGGAATGTATCTATGTCTTCTTGCTTGGGTATATGGCAGTCAAACCCCTTTGCTAGATTATATAGGTCACTGTAGTATTTGCCAAATTCGTCTGCTACTTCTTGTGGGTTGGTAAGTTTTTCTCCTACTTTAGTATGTATAAAGGGTATTTTGGACGATATGGTCTTTGCTTTTAGTTGTGCCACTAAGACTTTCCCCGCCCTATTGCCCTCTTGAAAAAATTTGTGTTTCATTTTGGTTAGTAGGTAAGTTGTTTTGGACATTTCCATTTCTCTCAATTGAGATTGCAGGTGAAGAATTTGTTGTGTAGTGTCGTGTGAAGGTGTATGTTTGTTAGTGCGGATGAGTGTGACTAGTTCTGTGTTTATGTCTATGTAGGCTGGCATGCGTTGCTTTTTATTGTAGCTAGCATGTTTAATAAATTGTCCCCTAAGGACTGCTTTGTGAGCTTGCCATAGAGTTTCAATTCCAATATCTCCTGTGTCATTTAGGGAGAAGTATGTTTCTAGATCTTTATTTATTTGCATGACTAGTTTATGGTCTGCTAGAAGGGAATCGTTTAGTCGCCACGTACTGTTTCCACTTGTAGGGTGTTGTGTTGTCAGTGATAGTGTGATCGGGGCATGATCTGACCAGGTAATAACACCTATATTTGTACTGGATACCTTCGGTGTGTGGGCCGATGGGAGTAGAAATCGGTCAGTTCGGGAGTAGGTGTCATGCACCAGGGAATGGTGTGTATAATCTTTATCTAGAGGGTGTAGGGCTCTCCAAATGTCGGTGTATCCATGTGTGTGTAGGATGTTCTCTATACGGGCAGTCGTGTGTATTCTCTGTTTCTTCGTCTTGTGTGAGAGGTGGTGTCTGAAGTTGGGTCTAAAATAAAATTTGTGTCTCCTCCGATTAGAATTTCTCCAAATTTATGGGCATTAGTTAGAGTGAGGATATGGTCTAGGAATACATGGTGACCACTTTGTGGGCCATATATGTTTACTAGCGTATATTGAGTATTGTTAATTATGCACTGTATGAGGAGGTATCGCCCTTTTTTGTCACTCACTTGTTTTATTAGTTGGAAGGAAACAGCATTACTTATCAATATCGTGACACCTCTTTTCTTTTTCTTATATGTGCTATGGTAGCCTATTGGATATAATCTGGAGGAGAATTTTGGGTGATTTGAGGTCTGAAAATGAGTTTCTTGATAGAAGGCTATATGGGCTTTGTGGTTTTTCGCTTCCTGTAGGGCCATACGACGTTTGTGAGGGGAGTTGAGTCCCTTAGCGTTTATTGACAAAATATTAAGTGTCATTTGTGTTTGGTAATGAGGGTGCTAAATGTGTGCTGGAGGCGAAGTTTATCACTGCCAAGGTAGTGTGGCGTAGTATGCCCCTTGGTTTCTAGTTGGGGTGTGTGTTTTTATACAACGGGGGTGTATGGAGTTGGGCCCGCAAATAAGTGCCAATGAATTCTACTTTGTACTTGTGAGATGTGCGTTGATGTGTCCTGGTGGCATTGTGTTGCCTTGGGAGGGAGGAGGGAGGAGAGGGAGGGGCAACTGGGGTGTAACAAACTATATACAAATAAAAGGTCTTCAACTTGAGACCTAATTGTCCTAGTATTTGTTGGGAATCGAAGCCCTCTTGTGGGATGGAGAGTCCCTTTTCCTTAGGGAGAGGTCTACTGTCTTAGGAAGTGTGTTGAGTTCGGTGTGGTCTTTTGATGTGGGCTAATGTATGTATGGGTCGTTCCAGGATATTGTTACTACCCTCTAGTTTTTTTTATTATTATTATTTTTTTATTTATTTTTTTATTTTATTTTTTTTCCTTTTTTTTTCCTTGCACAGCATATGGTTCCTGTTGGGTTCCATCGTGCTCCTGAACCATAAGCCGTGTATGTATATATTGTGTCTGAAAACAATGTAGTGTGTAACAAAAATGGAAACCTATTACTGTTCTTGCTAAAGCTTAATAAAAGTCTGGGAGCGCTAGTGACCTTATTTTCCAGATGAGGGCTAGTGTTGGGTGTTGCTGCCAACTTTTGACTGAAAACAAGGGTAACAGGAGGAGAGAGGCGCTTCTCATGACCTTAATGTACCTGTTATTCTCATTTTGGTTTGTTTTTGGTAAGTTTACAATTGTCCAATAATGGCAGCAATGTCTATCAATTATGTCTCGCCAGTGAGTATGGTTTTTTACGGGTATTTAAAGTCAGTGAGTAGGACTACATTTGATCTTAAGTCGGTGGCCGTTGGAAGGCATAGTTTCGTGATATCTGTCTGGTCAAGTGCTGGTGGTATATGTCCCATGTCGGGCTTCTATATGTTAGTGTGTAGATAGTCATTTAGCTGTCTGATGTTTCTGTCCTCATAATATTGTATTGGGAATTTCCCTTGTACTGATCAATATCTATTCAGTATTAATTAGGGGGTATTATAACATAAACTTGCATATAACTTTTAAATATAAAAGATAAAAGAACAAAAAAGAGAGCAAATGTTCAAAACCATGTGGGTCAAAAGTTCACCACTTTTGTGTTCCACTGTTTTGATCACAGGGTATACACTGGTTTAATATGGGCCCAGAAGACCCTGTTTGGGAAAGTCACTTATCTGTAGCTTGCGTTTCCCAGTCGGGGGTCACTTTCATCGGTACCGCTGCTGGCGATCTTGCATTGTCCGTTGTGTCTGTCATCGGTAAGTTCCATTCCGCCAAGGCCTTTTTTCCGTCTTCCGGGTTGAGGAGATGCTTTTCGATGCCGTTTCTTCTAATTATAAGAAGTGTCGGGAAACCCCACTTGTAGGGTATGTCTGCCGCTCTCAGAGCTTTGGTTATAGGTATAAAGCTTCTTCGTGCATTGAGCGTGGTTGCGGAGAGATCGGTATACAGCTGGATTTTGCTATATGCCTCTGGCAGGTTAGGATGTTTCCTAGAGGCAGACATTATAGCTTCTTTAGTAGTATAGTGGTGGATTCTTGTTATGGTGTCTCTTGGTGACGATGTTGGGAGATGTCTGGTTCTTGGTAGTCTGTGAGTTCTGTCTAGTAGCAATGCTGAGTCTGGGAGATCAGGTACCAGAAGATGTAAAAGTGTTGTGACATATTTTCCCAGGTCGTTGGGGCTGACATCTTCCGGGATTCCGCGTAGACATACGTTATTTCGCCGGTCTCTATCCTCGTGGTCGGCAAGTTTAGTGACAATAGAGGATAGTTTGGCTTCTATATTTTCATAGGCTGCAGCCACATTGTTATGTGCAGTAATGAGCTCTTCAGTTTTGTTTTCGAGATAATCCATTCTGTCCCCCAGCACTTTAACATCTGCTCTTATTTCTCTAGCCAATTTGGCAAAGTCTGCCTGTAGGGATGTCTGTAGGCCATTCAGCATTTTTTGTATTGCTGATTCAGTGGCTGGAATTTCTCTATTTGAGATGGAGGTGAAATCACTCCTGTCGGAGTTTGAAGCTGGTGAGCCTGTTCCGTCGGCGCCATCTTGTGTGCTGCGTGGTGACGAGGCCATAACTGCAACCTGCAATGAAGGTGTTTCTCTCTCGCCTTTTTTTTTGTGCAGCGTTGTGCCATGGCATCCTGACAGTATCCTGGTGTGGTTGGCCAGCAAGCTATGGGTAGTCTTTTCTATAAACGCTATTATAATCGCTGTTTTAGGGTACTCTCTCCCGGAGCCGATCGCTCACATGTCTGTCCTCATGAGCGTCAGGCCACGTCCCCTAAAAT